CTCTATAAACATTTGATTGTTATTTCACGGGAACCCACACAAGCACTTCAAGTCTCTCTTGACTTTGAAGGAAGCGATTCTTGCCCGGAATCCCCTGCTTTCTGTCTTACATGAGACATCACTCAATCCAATACACATTTGCTTTATTTCTTTATCTTTTGTCACTCTATTGCACGAAAATTTTAATTTTCCAACATTCTGGTTGCTGTTAGTTCGATTTGTGTTTATCTTTTGACGAAACAGGGGTAATTCTATATCTTGGAGCGCAACTGAATTTCAAACGACGATTGAGGATCAAATTCGTCGTGCATCACCGAGAGGTAACACTCCTCCCCGATCTCCTACTCCAACCGAATCTCCTCATAACAAACTTCCAACCCCACCTCCATCACCGAAACAGACAGTTCCAGTTTCGGTTCCTCCTATTCCCCACCTACCACATCTCAAACAACAACTTTACCACCAGTTTCGTCTATTCCTATTTCTACAACTCCAATCCCAACTCCTATTTTTTCCCAATCCACTACCACCACTATTCCTGAACCGACAGTAGGAGTCAACGTATCTGATACGAGGGCGACTACTGAAACAGAACCCCCAGTTACTTCTACACCCCTTTCACCCTCACCTTCAACCGACTCTGGTCCCACTCTCGGTGGTGCTAATGATGAGTATGATTCTACATACTTCAGTCCCTATCGGCTTCCTACTGATAAGGATGATGATGCTCCTGTCACACGTCAACACTTGCAAAGCATTCATGAGAAATTGGATAAGTTGATTGAAGACAACAAGTCCTATAGTGGTGTTGTGCTTAAAGCCTTTTTGGACACTGCTCTTGAACAATATACGGAGTCAATTGACAAATCCACCAAAGCTGTGTTAATGCGTCTACCTCCTCTTGCCAAAAGGCCCCACTGATGTTACTGAAATTGTACATAGTACTCAGATTTTCTTGAGTCACTAAAAGGGCATGCTGATACAAATGCAGCAAAGGTAAATGCTTCTGTGGATTCTTTCTCCAAGTCTCTTCAGGAAAACAAACTAAGTTTGAGGCTATGCGTTCCTCTATCCAAGCCGAGAACTCTTCACTTATCAGTTCAGTGAATTCTCGACTTGAATCTCTTCACGCTGATTTGGCGAAAGAAAGTGCTTTGAAGGAAGATCTTGCTCACCAAACATCCATGATCGAAGTACAGAAAGTGCAGCTAGCCCAAGCAGAAAAAGAAATTTCTTTGCTAAAGACCGAAAGAGCTGTTTTTCGCAGCTGTGCAAGGGATGTGAAGGATATGCTCACTAACATTCTTGGTGCTCATGATCCTATCCTCACTTTGACCATTCGGAATCATCTTACAACAAAACTTTCCGCCCTTGCATTGTTACACGAGATGAAGGGTGTTTCAGAGAGATTTATTGCTCCAAAACAAGGGGGAGAGGGTGCTCATCAACCGAAGGTTAAGACTGAAACCGAAACTGCTCAACCGAAGGTCAAAGTTACAACCGAACTGAAGGATAATGTAGCTTCAGGTTCTGGTCCACAAGAAAAGCAAAAGGAGATTGATGATGCTAGCAGTAACGAATCCGATGAAACTATTGCTGAGGCTCTCAAGCGAAAGAAGAGAGACAAAGAGCTTGATGAAACCTTGAAGGTTGCAAGGGAAGCAGAGGAGAGGGAAAGGAGAAACAAGGAAGAAGAAGAAGCCTTGAACTGCAAGAAGGCCTTGTTTCCCTTATGGACTAAAGAGGCACTTATCAATCAAGCTATAGAGTTTCCAAGTGTTATTGGTTGGAACCTGTTGCTTCGTTGACTGTGATAATTCTAAGGACTCGCAGTTCGATATGCCGATAACAAGAAAGGCGTTCACGTTTCACTTTTTGATTCGACTGCTGAGGTTCCTTTTCCTCATCCAAAGGTGACCGAGAGCTTATTGATTTCTATCTGAAGTATGGACAACCTCAGACTTGACATGGAGCACACAGAAAATAATCACTGTCAAGGTACTGAAACCTACGTCTGCTGGGAGATTTGTAAATGTCAATTTCAAGATCACACGAGGTTCTGCAAACTCGGTGTCGATTATATCTCTAGCAGATCTTCCGAATCTAAACCCTCATGATTGGATTTTATTATTCAATATTCTGCTTACAAATCCGAGGGAATATGAACCGATTTTAGAGCACTTGAAGAGGATGTTGGCTTCTTACATCCATGAGGTCGCAGCTATGGATCAAGAGATAGCGAAAGTAATGAACAAGAAACCGACCATCAAGCCAACATCGAAACCAGGAGATGTGAATAAGATGAAGATGGGCCAAATAGATTCAAAACATCTCACTGTGATGTTTACAAAAGGCGAAGCTCACAAATTTTTGTTCGCTCTTGTTGATAAACATTTATTTTCAACTGACTGCTTGGAGCACATCATCAACATTATACATCGTTGCAAGCAGAACTCAGAGGCTGACAAGAAGAATTTTACTGACATGCTTCTTCGTTACATAACGTTCCGTCATCATTTGCTGGCTATCATTCCGAAGGTGTTCAAAACAATAAAGAAGACTTCTGCAGCTCAACTGAAGTGAGCTTTCGGTCCCATTGACGCAAATTGGGAGATTGTTGAGTCTAATTGTGTTGCGTCTTGGGCTTTTTGTTTTGTATCCGGATTGGGCCTGTCCATCCGGATTGGGCCTGTCCATACGACATATTCAAAGCCATTCTTATGTTCTTGATTACATTTTTAACTGTTTGCTTGCATAGAATCTAACGATCCTAATAGAACTTTGTTCTAACAAACACCCACATAACGGAAGTCATATCATAAGAGAACATCCATGAATGTAAGAATTTGTAGCATACTCTTCACTATTAAAGTCTTTGTCAAGCTTTCTTTTACCTATTTTATGAAAAATAATGTTACATGTAGAACCAATTAGTAATATCAGGTGATAAACCGGTCATAGTCATCGGGGAGTAATTTCTTTATTGTCTTGGTATTTATTTTTACAATACTAACAAAAGTTTGTTATCAGTTACATGATGAATCAAAGTGTTGATTCAAAGGCATGAGTTGTGGTTGAAATTTATTGCTAAAAGCAGGAGATGTTTCAAAGTAAAATACTATATTGCATAGTTTGTCCGGTTCTAGATGTTGTCATTTTCCCTAGCCTAGTTATATGTGGCTATTGGTGTGTAGCCTGTTAAATATCTTGATATAATATTTTATGAGAAGGTTCCAAGTGGCTTAAAGGTGACATAGGAAAAATTATATATATCATTTACCTACTATTTTTTTCTTGTAGCTACTTCTTTTTGCTAAAATAACATTTCTTTATTATGGGGAATTTTCTAAAAAAGTGAAAATTTTGTGTACATATTTATAGCAGCTATCATTAGCAAATTACCATGTTTAGAGATATCATCTAGTTTTTGAAGTTATTCATCGTTGATTTGGACAAATATTGGATACATGAGTTGAAACACTTACCGAATGGGTTGATAGAAATCTAAAGTAAGATCTATCATTTTTGTTACTCTCTTTCTTAGTGTGTTTGGATGCAAGAAATAATGGCATACTTCCATTTTTTGTTATAGCATTATTCATTAGATTTTTTCTTATTACCATATTATAGTTTGCAAAACAAGCCCAATTACGGCATTGTGATACTTGTTGTATTTTGGTGACATTGCTAATAATTGGATAGATTTTTTAAAGTACAATTTTGTAATAGGAAAAAATGAAAGTAGGATGTTATCATAAAAATTCAGTTAAAGAATATCTTTTTGGTCTAAATGCGAGAGATAATATTATATTTTAACTTATATTTGTATCATAATATGTTCATTTGATTATATTATCGAATTGTATTTTCAACTTATTTTCTTAATTACATATTAAATTTTTTAAAAAATCCACATGATAATAACATTATACTTTTAGTTTTGTTCTTATAATGTTATTTACTTTGAAAAATCTACATCACTAAAAAATTTTTTTTTGGGTGAAACTAAATTACTTTAGTTAGGTAGATATTTCTAAGTCCAATGTTGTAAAATGAAAAAAGAAAAAGAAAATTAGATGCAATAATATTAGTTCTTTGATTATTTGAAACAATTTACAATTGTCTTTTCACAAATCCATAGATTGTGATCGATCACCTCTTCTTAATATAGGTCTGGAAACAAAATTAATAAAATGACGATCATATCCATGATGAGAATAATGATGTTGAAAATATGAATATCGACAGAGACAAAGTGTTTTGTAAACCTACAAGGTTAAAACCTTATGAAAATAGTTCAATTCTGAAGAAGATATTGACATGGAACAACAAAAAGGAGATTGAAATGAGACATTAAATGTGTGATGTAATTTGTACTTGAAAACAGTATTTTCAGTATACATTTGAAATGTTACTTTGTATTTGACATAAGATATATAGTTTGTGTAAATTTGGAATGAATATATATATATTATATATATATATATATATATATATATATATATATATATATATATATATATAACCATAAAGTTATGACATAGAAAATATTTGTCATGTGTTAAAAATCAATTCAAAATTATGACAAAGTATTTATGACACACAAATACATGCTATCTTCACTTCATTTATGCCTATTCTTTTTTCTATTAGTGAATCAAAGAAACATACTCTAAGAAAAATGCAAAAAATATGGTAAGTTTTCTAAAATATCCTTACTCCTAATTCCAACATTTTCTATGGGATTATATAAATTAAGACTACTAATGACAACAACTACATAAAAAGCCAAAATCTTGTCTCTTTTTCTTTCACATTATATTACCATATCTTGTGTAATTGATCATTACAAGCATCATTCCATCTTTATCTCTCTTTTTTTCTTTCTTCTCCACTCCCTTAAAAAAGTTTAACTAAAGACAAATAAAAAAGCATAAATATCTTGAAATCCAACACTAAAGAGTCAAAATTGATCATTCTCGTTTGCAAACTTAAAACGTCTTTCTCATTCCTCTAAGGGCTTCAAACACACTTGAACCCCATATTTAGGTTTTATAGTTAGCACTATAACTGGTGCATGTCTATAACTATCGGATATCATAAATTTGAACTTGGATATTAACATAGCCAAAATTATCTTAGCCTCCATCAATGCGAAAGATTGTCCGACACAATTACGTGGGCCAGCAGCAAACGGCATAAAATGGCGTGCTTGAGAGAAGGACCTTGAGGCAAACCGATTAGGGTTGAATTCGTTTACATCTTTACCCCATATATCTTCACTATGGTGTATGGCAAGCACCGGGATCCATATCGACAACCCTTTTGGAATGAGGAGGTTACCTAGTATTATATCCTCAAACGCCATCCTCGGCAACACGGATGCAGGAGGATACAATCTCAAAGATTCGTTGATCACCATGTTTAACTGCATCAATTTCAAAACAAATATTATATTAATCAAAACTTAGATATTAGGCTACAAAACAAAAATTATTGTTTTCACATGTAATAGCGTTTGTTTAAATAAATTAAAAAGAAATTTATTTTTCTTGAATAGAATTAAGTTAAGTTACCAAAACCCACTAGAATTTTGTTGCCGTTCAAAAAAAAAAATTAAGAATTTAGTATAATTATGTCATTTTTTTAAAATTAAAATGAAAATGGAAACCCATTTATAACCAGACAACCATGCATGAGAATCTCGAGTCTATTTAAATCATAATAGTTTTCCGTGAAAATATTTCAACGCATTTAATTATTAATTTAAAGTCAACTTGTTTTTAATAATAATATTAAATTAATTAAAACAAATAAAATCATTAGGATTGTTTTAAGTATTTATACTTCACCAACTTTAAAGCAAGGCACTTCCACTAACAATTTATTTTCCTAAAAAATTAAATTGGATTTAATTTCGTTTAAAATACACTAAAAGATCTATTTCAGTATCATTGTTATTATTACTATTATTATTTTGGTATATTTTATATAAGCCATCTCCTTTACGTCAAATCACCATACGTTTTAATATTTTATATATACATGAACGAATTAACTAATTGTTTTAACCAGTCAAACTACAATTATGTATCCTATTTATAAGAAACGAGTCGATTAATATATTTGCTAGTGATACTTACTTCACGAAAACTATTAATATTTTGGACGTGGAAACCATCAAAAATATATGTTTTAATGTACAATTTGATCAATATGAACTGTTTTTGTTGATTTGTTTATAGATACTTCTTAAATTAAATTTATCACATACCAAAGAGAGCTTGGATAGATGCTCAACCGAAGGTGAACCACCATTGCAGACAAGTCGAACCTCCTCTCGAACCTTATCTTGCCAAGATGGATTGCTAGCTAATAACATGATCGTCCATGTGAGTAAAAGTGCAGTCGTTTCATGTCCTGCAAAGAAGAACGTCTTGCATTCATCCATTATCACCTGCAAATTCAAGCTGAATCCATTCTCCCCTCTTTTCTTCTGCATTTCGTTAAGCAACATCCCAAGTAAATCATTCCCATACGAGCTACTCCGACCAATCTCAACACAATCCGTTCGGCTTTGTATTATCTCCATCAATAGTCGCTCCACTTCCATCTTTAACGACTTGATCTCCCTGTTGTATTTGCTCGGAAGAAATCTATATATACAAAAAAAGATATTAAAGTTTGAAGAAACCATGATGCAGCGTTTTTGGGGTGCAAGTCGGCCGGAAAAAGGATTTAAGAGATTAATTACCGGCTTCCCGGAAGACATAAGTGACGGCTAGCTTGAGCACACAGTTGCTGTAAAACCGTTAACAAATGAAATATTTGCTTCCCTTTCTCGTAGCTACTATCGAATTCAGTTCGTGAAATGATATCGGCTGTTAGCTGAGCCATATACTCTCCAATCTCAAACTCCTCACGTCCCATCGCTACTTCTTTCTCCATTGATCGAATCATCTCCTTAGTGCATTCCACCATGTAACCCGCATAACTCTAAATAAAAGAGTCTTTAATAAGTCTACTTTAGTTTAAGTTTTAATGTAAAATAATAGAAGGTGGTACGTAGATATATATATGTATATATATAGATATATATATGTATATATATACCTTGAGTTTATCTCTCATAAATGCGGGTGCGACGATGTGACGTTGGTGGTGCCAATCATCGCCGTTGGCCATTAAAAGTCCACGGCCAATAAAATGCTTACAGCCTTGTTGTTGAAGCCATGATTTCCCGGAACTAGTGCTGTGCTTTACTAAAAGCTCTTTGATAAGATCAGTTTCCGTCAAGCACATCCGCGGTTCCGTACCATTCCAATATATGAATCTTTTTCCTGTAAATGGAAACTCCTTTTATTAATTACTTTATGATATATATAAGTAGCAACATTAAAATCCATAAGAAGATCATAAAAACTAATAATTTTCCCAGACGTTTTGTTATTAAATAGTATAATATCTTTTCACCTCCGTTTCCTGATATATACAGATCAAGTGTTTGAAATGCTTTTATTGCATTACATGCAAGTCATGAATTCAAAATTTTCTTCATAATTGATTTGAAATCCGTTATAGAAAATGAATATCTTTTTTTTACATTTCCGAACAAGAATTTAAGATAGTTCTAGACTCGTAACGTAAGTGTGAGAACAAACAAAACTTGACAAGAAAACTTGTCTTTTCGTTTCTCTTTAACGCAAATCAAAGGATTTCAGAATCATTGATGGTGTCTGGAATCCAATATATATGAGAAAAGGTACCGTATATTTTGGACCAGAGGACGAGATGAGGTAAGAGGCGAGGGACAATGTCGTGATCAATGGAGGGCATGTCAAAAGAGGTGGATTTGGAGACGAGGGAGGCAACATCTATGAGGTTACCGATCAGGAACCGGGGTTTAGGGCCATGGACTCCTTGCCGAGCCATGATGTTCTTGATGCGTATGGGTGTTAGCAAATAACAAGTAAGAGTTTCATAAGCAATCTTCAAGAAGAGATAGAGAAATACAAGTAAAGGTGCCCATAAAACCACACCCATTGACATAATCAATTTCATATTTTTTGAGAGAGAGAGAGAGAGAGAGAGAGAGAGAGAGAGAGAGAGAGAGAGAGAGAGAGAGAGAGAGAAGGATGTTTGAGAATAAATATTTGGATCCAAGGAACGCAATTTATAGTGATGACCACTCATGAGATCAAATAAAATATACTCGATTCACTCTAAAAGAAGTCAAGATTTGACTTTTATTGACTATTAAATTCATTTCTAAATCGGCACTTATTTTTTTCAATGGTAATTATAATTTTTTTTTTCATATATCAATTTTAATAATTGTCATTGGAAATTAATTTTATTAATGTTTTAATTATAATTTCAAAATTTCTAAATGATATTGTGTTTGTCGCGCCACGTCTAAAGGAAAAGTTAGTTTATTTTTCAAATTTTTTAGTTGTTATGTTTACAACTCAAAAACTTGTTTAAAAGCTAGATTATAAGTTATGTTTTTTAAAATCTACTTAGATTACTTTTCTAGGAGCTTTTTAATATTTTCCAAATATAACTTTAATTAACTATAAAAATAATATTTTACAAATGCCTTTTTATTTCATTTTATATATTCAACTAAATTATCTACTAGTTTTTACAAAACATCAATATTTTTATCAGGTAGCTATTCAGATAATAACTATCTTTTTAGCTATCAGCTAGTTTTTCAACTATCAGCTAGTTTTTTAGTTTGTACACCAAACATAACCTAAATTCAATGACATAATTAACTTTTGAAGAGTTGTAAACTATTTTAATGACTTAATATTAACATATTTTATAATTTGGTTTTATATTTATAATACGTTGCTTCAAATTGAAACAAACCATTAGCTTTAGATATACAAAATATAGATCTTTTTTAACATATGTCATACTGTTATCCATTTTACCACATGTTAATTTATGGTTAATTTAAAATAATTTTTTCCCACGTTGCATTTTATGGTTTTTTTTCCATGTTATTAATTTCCATATAATAATGATATGTATTAATAATAATAATAAATGACATATATTAAATTGACGTCAATTTAATTAATGTTTTATTCCTAATTTTTAAAATTTTAAATTAGTCTAATGTCAAAATTACTAGAATTCATTAATTACTAATTTTGACTTTGATTTTATGATATTTACAAACAAGTTCTCGAACAATTAGTTTAATGACATAATAATACTTCCTAATAAATAAAGATCTTTTTGCCACATGTCACATTCTCATTTATTTGGCTACATGTAAATTTGTGGTTATTTTAAATTAATTTTTATTCCACATGTCATTTTATGGTTTTTCCTTTTATTTAGTATTTAAATGCAATAATAATACATATCAATTTAATTAATGAACTTTTCTTCTAATTTCAAAATTACTAAATTAAAGATTCATTAATTTTCTGTATTTATTTATCTAAATTATTTGTTTAAATTTTATAGAGAAAAAAAAACATTTTAATTTTATTAATTCAATATTTTCTCACTTTTCTTATAAATTCAAACTTCTAAATGTTTAGAATTTTGTATTCAGTTTTTTTTTAAATAAACCAATATAATACATGGGTTTCACAACTAGTTTACTATAAATGATAACCAGTTATAACATTTTTATTTTTTTAAACATTTTATGAGTTGTAAACTACCTTAATGACTTAAGATTAACATATTTTTAATTTGATTTTACTTTAAAACTACCTTCATTGCTCTAAATGGAAACAAACTATTAGCTTCATATATATATATATATATATATATATATATATATATGAAATGAAAAAAAATGTAAAACGTCCTTTTAAAGACCTTAAGGTCCCATTTATTGTATGTAAAAAAGGGATATTGAGTAGACTAACCATTATAAATGAGTTTTTTTTTAAGTAAAATAATCATTTTTTTAGTTTATGAAAAATGACCACTTACTCCCGAATGCCTAATGTTGGATTTGATTTTCAAATTATGGAATTCTTTTTTGTTTTTTTTTTCAAAAAAATCTATCTGCTTATGTCTGAAATATCCATTATGAAGTGTTTAATGTTAGTGTTTTTCAATATAATGTAAGATTCATGCCCTGATATTGTATATAGTTCATAGTCGTGATTTCTTCTCAAGATCAATATTTTTGCGAGGAGCTTCTCGAATTTCTCCCTGACCAAGTAGTTGAGCAGATGCATCTTTAAATATGGTTCTAACTAGCACATGGGGACCTTCAGTTATGGATCTTTAGATTTATTTGTATTTTGCTTTTGAGATTAAAATACGTTCCATTCTTATCTTCTAGTGATTATATTCCTCAACCACAGGAAATGGGGATCGAGTAATGCAACCCCCATTGTTAGATATATGCATTAAATACAATTATTGAGTAAGATTAGTCATTGTTAAGTTAGAAAATAAAAGTGATAGTGGTATATATGAAGAACTTTTGTACGGTATATCTAGAAATGGAAAAGAAAACCAATGTGTTCTTGAGAAATGATAATCTGGTCAAATAGATTCAAAAGACAACTATTTAGGCTTTGATACCAATTGATAGAGTAAGATACTTAACTAACAATGATAATTTTCCAGTTAAGAGACTGAAAAGATCATGTCGAAAGACTTGAAGATATTCAAACAAAATAATTAATTCAAGAAGTAAATGCTAGAAATAAATGGTTAAAAGAATTAAATGAAGAACAAAGATAATGTTTGATGGAGAAATCTGAATGATCTTCTATTCAAGAGATCATAAAAGGTCATATTACAATGGGAAGTTGACCTGCCTTTTTATAGGCAGTGGAAAAGTATTATAAGGATTGAGGGAACAAAAAGTACAGCTAAATGGTTGATCAACAGGAATCAGACAAATGAAAAAATATATCATGTTGATCTTGTTTCCTATCTTATATACAGACTAAAGACAAATAAATTGATATGCTCGGATGGGCAATGTATTTTGGATGCAAACTTGGTTGGATGTAAGATAACTTCAGATGTCTCATTTCTTCGTATAGATTGGTTACGTCATGTACTATCATTTTCCCTTTGTTCTTATAAACTAATGTAATTATAACGACCCAAAAAATAAGACTAAATATTTCGTTTTTAAATTAATAAAACTATTATCTAAAACATCATCATAGAAATCATGGTGAATCAAAGTGTATCGACAACATCACAATACATCAGAGTAACATAAAATGTGGAAAGAGGTGGTGTGTGCACTAGAATCATCTCGGGCTCTTCCCCTTCGAACCAGAAGTACTTGAAAACATAAATTGAAAACCGTAAGCACAAAGCTTAGTGAGTTCCCCAAAATACCACATACTATACAAAATAAACATATAATGGGCCCTGCTCGTCATGGGGCCCGCCCGACATCGAGCCCCGCTTGGTATACACATCTGTCAGTCATCGGGCCCCACCCGGTATATATATATATAAACATATAAATAGATAAACACATAACACATGAAATAATCACAAAGATAAATAGCATACAGAATGCTAATCGGGCCCCGTCCGGTAAACATACAAGCACATAACATATGCAATAGTCACGCAGACATCTAGCATCCTAAACATAACAAACCATAGGTCAGCATTGGTGCCTTCGACCCGTTAAACATGTTGGATTAGTGTCTAAGCCCATAACTATATTTGGTAAGTACTTGACCCGGTTGTGCATGGTCCTTTTGGGTTGCCTTCACCAAAGCAACTAGATAGGATGATTTATGAAGAGAGAGAGATTATAATGGTTTATAAATATATTATATGAATAATATATTAATGGAGAAATCATATAGTTTAATTAATATTAGACAATAAATAATTAAGAATTAATTTTGTAGCTAAAAGACATTAATTAAATAAAGGGGACTAGAACTGACAATTGTGTGATAGTTGAATATTGGGCTGAGAAGCCTTATAGATTAGGCATGGACGAAATTAAGGATATATCCATCTTAATTTCGGCCATAGATGCCTTATTCCAGAAGGTTCCTTGGACTGCTTAAGGCCTAAGCTGTCTATTTGGGTTTTGACTGAGACCCTAGCAGCACAAGTATAAATAGACCCCTAGGGCATCAGTTTTCGGTCACTGGAAACCCTAGAAGAGTTCATAGCCGAAATTGTGCCTCCTCCCCTCTCTCCAATATCATCTTATTGCTTGTGGTGTTTGTAAGCCATTAGAGGAGTGACATTTGTGACTCTAAGCTCCAAGAGAAGAAGATTCAAGCCCTTCTTGAAGAGGTAATCATCTAGATCTGATTTTATATGATAATTTCGAAATATGTATGCTAGATCTAGGGTTTATAAGTCTTGGATGAATTGCATGTACAATAGAAAAACCTAGATCCAAGCTTTAGGGTTTGCATGGGCACAAAGGATGTTCTTTTGTATAAAACCCATCTGTGGTATCAGAGCCTAGATTGGTTTCAATTGTATTTGATGCTCATTAATTCGTCCATAGCAGAAAAGAAAAATCATTTTTTTTGGAAAAAACCCAACTCAAGACGTGACTCACTGAGTTCACGACGTGAGTTCTGTCTGCGTGGCAGACTCGCCGAGTCCAGTAGGCAACTCGACGAGCCTGTGAGTCAGTTGGCACAAATCTCAGATTTTTGGGTTTATTTTGGTTTGGATAATTACCAAAATTGTTTTTGGTTAATAAATTCTGATTTTCATATATATTATGTGATTATCCTTGCCAAAATAAAAGATAGTTTCAAATTAATTAAATAATTATTTCCTTATATGATAAAATATGATTATTTGAATCATTTGGTGAATTATTTTTCATAAAAATGGATTAGGTCAAATTTAGATAACCACAAATTAATTGTTTAATTGTTTATTTGAATTTTGATCTAGATGATTTTGAAATGTTTCAAAACTTGCCCTCAAGTTTTGGAATTTAAAATTTTGGATTAAAAGTTTAATTTTGAAATAATTAAATTCCAAACCCTAGAATTTTACAAGTTTAAAATTTACCCTATACTATTATAATATTATAAGAATAATTATTGTATATGTATAACTTAAATGCTAGTCTTACC